AAAACTCATCGCTAGGCTAACCGTCGGCACATCCTAGCTTTGCCAAACAGATGGGTGAATCAGCTCCTTCTGCTACTCGTGACCCTCATGACTCATTTGTTTGATAATGACTGTAGTTAATTTCAAAAGATGGACGCCCTCCTGGAGGAAATGCTCTTGTGCTTGGCCAGACAAATGCCAGGCTCATGCGAGTTTTATCTTAAACTCCCGTTTGTGGTTTTCTATTTTTAGAGCAATGTTATTATTAATCTGCCACCGCCGGCTGTACAGAAAATTCCACACGGCATCAAAAATAAAATATATATGAGTCAACTCACCTGCCCCAGTTCCAAAATTATTGCATAAGGTGGTGTATGTAAAAGAGGGTGGGTTTTTCTTGTTTTAAATTAAATTGTCACTGGCAGGCAAAGTTGCAGGCTGCTTCCACATGAAAGAAACACCCTTTATTTCCTGGGTGCAAGAGCCAAGCTGAGCATGTGGCTGTAAACTACTTGGAGCAGGCATGGAGCCAGAGAGGAGCTTTCAGTGGTCGAAGGGCAAGAGCCCCAGGGCTGGTGTCACTGGTCATATCGCTGGCCAGTGCCCCAGGGACATTGCTCTGGCTGGACTTGTTGCTATGCAGAAGGATGCTACAGACTTTGCCAACTGCTCCCACCATCCTGGGAGATGGCGCAGGGGCTTCTGGGGACTATTTGGTGTAGTGAAAGATTTATGCGATCTGAAGAGAAACCAGAGTATATTTGGTGTAGTGGTTAAGTGCATGGACTCTAATCTGGGAGAACCGGGTTTGATTCCCCACTCCTCCACTCGCAGCTGCTGGATGACCTAGGTAGGGTTGCCAAGTCATTCTTACTCACCGGCGGGGGAGCATTCCTTCGGTCCGGGAGCTGCTGAGGTAAGCGCGCGTGCGCGCCGCCAGAACACCACAGGAAGTGACGCTATGGTTTTCCCTCCAACAATTGGGGCCACGCCCCCAACGTGCTCTACGTCGTTGTGTCACTTCCTGTGACGCACCCACGCTGCGCTTCGGGGGGCGGGGTTCCCCCCGGGGCCCGATTCCGCAGCGGCGGAAATCGGGCCTCCAAAGCGGGGGTTTACCCACCCCCCACCCCCACTTGGCATCCCTAAAACTGGGGCAAGCCATAGTTCTGTCAGAGGTGTTCTTGAAAAAGAGCAGTTTCTGTCAACTTGCTTTCCCCAAAGTTACACAGCAGCTGAGGGGAAATGCATTTTTAAAGTCCCCAGGAACCTGGTTGTACCCAGGAAGTGGCAAAAGGGGGGGGGGGGCTCTTGCCTTCCCCTCCATGCCTTTTCTCAACCTGAAATCATACTGGAGTTATTTCCCCCCCTTTTTGGTTGCTTCACATGCACAGAATATTGGATGTGGAGAAGCCAGAAGGAGAGGAACAATTCACCCCAATCCCATTCAGGTTGGCAAAAAGACAGGAGGGAAAGGTGAGCCCCCCCCCCTCTCATTGTGGTTTCTAGCTCAGTTGGGCTCTCTTTTAAACAGACATTCCCCCCAGCTACTTTATGGTCATACGGCTGTATGGAACCCAGACTTGACTCTATAAAAAATGTCACATCTACTTTGGTGTCTACTTTTAAGAGGCAGCGTGGTGTAGTGGTTAAGAGCAGCAAGTTCTAATCTGGAGAACCGGGTTTGATTCCCCCCTCCTCCACATGAAGCCTGCTGGGTGACCTCAGGCCAGTCACAGTTCTCTCAGAACTCAGCCCCACCTACCTTACAAGGTGCCTGTTGTGGGAAGAGGAAGGGAAGGTGATTGTAAGCTGCTTTGAGACTCCTTAGGGCAGAGAAAAGTAGGGTATAAAACCCAAGTCTTCTTCTCACAAGGTGACCTTGGATCGTTCACTTTTTCTCAGCCTGACCTACCTCATAGGAATCTTGTGAAGATAAAACGGAGGAAGGGAGATCTGTGTAGGTTGCCCCAAGCTCCCTAGAGGAAGGTTCAGACAAACATGTGATGCAAGAACCTGATTAAAAAGAGAGAGAGAAATTGCCATACCTGCATGAAAGGCCCAGGAGCAGCTTATCCAACCAAACCTGAGGCAAAAATATTTAATGGGCAGCTATAGTCCCTAAAGCTTGAGAAACCAATCTACAAGGACTGCATACACAGGAACACTATCTTCTGCCTCCAAAAGATGAATGTCAGCTAAACGGAATGTGAACAAACAGTATGTACAACATTTATAACGTTTATATTTGGAAGGCATTTGCGGTGCAAGCCTATTCGTGTTTACTCTGAAGTCCCGTTTTGTTCAAGGGGGTTTACTCAAGGTAGGTGTTTATAAAACTGCGGCCTTGAGTGAAGAGTGGCACAACTAGGGAAAAGAAATCAGGATAGGCTTGCCAAGTCAAATCTTCTTACCGGCGGGGGAGTGTCGCCGGGCTCCAGGGGCTCTGCTCCGATGCGCGCGTGCTTTGCGTGCACGCGCCACCAGCACATCCCAGAAGTGACGCACGACGTCGATCACGTTGGGGGTGTGGCCCCGATAGTTGGAGGGAAAACCATACAGTTTTCCCTCTGACAATCGGGGCCATGCCCCCAATGTGATCGATGTGGTTGCGTCACCTCCGGCGATGCAGCGACGCTGCGCTTCGGGGGGCGGAGTTGCCCCCGGGGCCCGATTCTGCGGCGGTGGAAATCAGGACTCCAAAGCGGGGGTTTACCCGCCACCCGCCCCCACTTGGCACCCCTAAATCAGGATGTATCTTAATTTTAAAAAAATAAAAAATGCCCCAACAGACCTCTTTTCAACATTTATTTTTAATTTCAAAATGTCTCATACAGTGTTCTTAAGAAAATGGGTTTTAACATGCTTTGGAAATCGAAAGTACATCCGTGTCCTTTACATACTACTGAATTCAGTAGCACCTCAGGGACAAGATTTTCAGCGTGCAAGCTTCCAAGAGTCAAAGCTTCCTTCGTCTGATAAAGGGAACTTTAAATCTCTAACGCATACCAGTAATTACATGTTAATCTGGTATTTGTAAGAGTTACTCTTTTCAAAACATTTTTGTTTCTGATATTGTATACCACCTGCTTATTTCCAAGCTCTAACAGTCTTTCTTTATGAACATTTCCCTCTTTATACTCTGCATATTTAGGGAAACATATGAGGGAATAGGACACAGCATTCAGAAGCACACAGAGACTGGGGGTGGGCTGGAATGAGAGACAGTAAATGAAGAAGAGAGACCAGAAAGTAAGCAGGGATAAGATACCACCTGGGCAAAACCAGAACAAGGTTTATTTAAGATGTTTTCCCCACTGGACAAGCAGACAGTACAATGTACAACACACTCACACAGCTCCCCCCCCCCCCAGTCTAAGAGCACAATACTCTTGTTCCCTTTCTAATGCAAGGAAAGAAGGAAAGAAAAACAGCAGAGAGAAAAAAATTGCAGAGAAATATGGTGTTCATCTTCATTTTTATCTTATTTCCCCCCCATAGACTTCTTAATAAATAACCTAAATCCTTATTCAACCCCTTATTCAGACCCATATACCCAACTGCACAAAACCTTGTTTCTCATTGCACAGTGTGTGTCCAGATGCATGTCAGAATAAAATAATAAAATAAGCCTGATCTGGAAGCACTTATAACCTGGCTAGACCAGGGAGAGCCAATGAGCTGTCAGTAGGTGGAGCCTAAAGAGGACTGCGTCTTTCCCCTTCATTCTCCCCCCTTGAGTGGTTCACCACAGTGGGGCATCAGTGCAGAGGTCTGAAGGCTACCGGGCCAAATACAGGTGGAAACTGACAAACAGTTCAAGTGTTTGGAAAACGAAGTGGTAGAACGAAGGAGAGGCCCATATTGGGACAGGAAAGAAATTCCATTATTACTAGGAGGCAGACACTGTTTTGTACACGTGCATGAAACTGCCTTATACTGAATCAGACCCTTGGTCCATCGAAGTCTGTATTGTCTACTCAGCAGGGGTCATTTCCTGCAGGAGCACACAGGAGCGGAGCTCCGGCAGTAAAGAGCCCAGGGGGCGGGCGCCAGTGTTCCCTCTAAGCTGAGTTAGTGTGAGCTAGCTCACAGTTTCTTAGCCTCTGGCTCACACTTTTTTGTCTTCACTCAGGAAGGAGGGCTCCAGAGCAAATTAATTTATCCAGCAGCCAAATCGCTCGCTCACAACTTTAATGCCAGTGGCTCACAAAGTAGAGTTTTTGCTTGCAAGACTCCATGGCTTAGAGGGAGCATTGGCGGACACATGCAACAAGCCCCACCCCCTGCTCCCAGCAGCCCTCAGTCAGAGCAAGAAGCAGCCAGGTAAGTTGCAGAACTCCCCCCCCCCGGGCCGAAACAGTCCAGTGGCACCTTTAAGACGAAGTTTTATTCAGGTACAAGCTCTCCCTCCTCTGTGAGAACAGATTTGCATGTTCCCCCTCCCCAATACCCTGTTTCCCCGAAAATAAGACCTACCCCAAAAATAAGCCCTAGCAGGATTTCTATGCATTTGTGGTATAAGCCCTAGTGTGTCTTCTTGAGAAAAAATAAATATAAGACAGTGTCTTATTTTCGGGGAAACACGGTAGCTAGCAATCCAAAACAGTCCAGTGATGTCAGGGGGTGTGGCATGTACAAATAAGTTATGCTAATGAGTTATGCTAATGAGCTCCTGCACCTCTTTTTCTACTAAAGGACCCCTGCTACTCAGACTGGCAGCAGCTGCCCCGGGGTCTCAGGCAGAGGCCTTTCACATCACCTACTGCCAGATCTTTTAACTGGAGATACCAGGGATTGAACCTGGGACCTTCTGCATGCCAAGCAGATGCTCTACACAGCCCACTTCCTGTGCCCTCAGCCCGCTTCCTACACAGTGCCAGCTCGATACAGTAGAGAGGAACGGGGAGGGGAAGAACCTGTGGAAGCAAAGGATTGCTGAGGTTGCGGTCAACTGGCGTAAATTTCTACTGACCTTTTTTTCTCTTTTTGACTGGACAATTTCTCCCCCTTGTTCATTTGGGAACAAAACCCAGCCCTCAGCCAAGATTCAGGACATCCCTCCCAGAATCAGAGGTGCCCTCTTGCCCGGGATTTCCATCAGCTCTTACAGCAGATTGACTGTAGCCACTACCTGTTTGCAACCCATCGCAGCAAACTGCCGCCCTCCTTTCACATGATAGCTGAGCTGACTGGCTAAACGCTCTACGTGGCTCGGGTCGGGGTAAATGCCTTCACTCATCATTTCCTCATAGAAGCAGCTCTGGACATGGCTCTTCTCAAGCAACACAAACGGAACGATCTCCACAAAGCCCCAAAAAGGATGGGCGTGGCTAAGTACGGGACGGACGGAGGTCAGCAGCTCTTCCATCTTGCCCTGTGGTAGTGGGAGATCGGTGGAAACGTTCTGCAGAAGGAAGTTCATGATCTCTTTGCCGCCCACCTTGCTTATCAGGATATACACGGCATTCAGGAACTCGTTGGTTTGGTTCGTCAGGAAGAATCTGCTGAGGGTCTCCAGCAGGGCTGGAGACATGAGTTCCACCTCGTCCAGAATAAACAAGGGGATCTTCTCTTCTATTTCGGCTTGGGTTACCATGTCACTGATCTTCTCAGATAGATCCAGCTGGCAGGCCAAAGATGAAGCATCGTCTGGGCAGTGGTGCATCGTAAAGTAATGGAGCACGAAACTGTGACCCACGACTGACCGGAAGTGTTTGGCTAGCAACCAGCCAACATGGCTCTTTCCAACTCCGCTGGGCCCGTTGAAGGAAATCACTAAAGGCTGGTTGTGTATGTGTGTTGCCAAGTAGTCTTTCAGCAAGGCCATAATGCTCTCGATGGCCACAGTCTGCCCAAAGATTTCCCGGCGCATCGTTTTCTCCAGCCCATCCAAGTCATACTTTAGGACGTTATCGTCCAAGTTCTCAATCGCATTCAATATCTGGAAGCAAACAATACTGGCGAGCAAGAGGAGGCAACACTTGGCTTTGCTCTTTTGTTCCGTCGGCAGGTACCGCCTGGTGCTGCCTGGGTACAACACCCGGGGGTTCCTACTCCGCTTCTTCCGTTTGCTGGATCTTGATAGCGGTGGCTGCGCAGATGTGTCAAAAGTAAAATACTGTGCCTTCTCAAAGCTTGCTTGGCTCAAAACAGAAGCAGATGCACTACCCAGCTTGGCTTTACCCAAAGAGATCTGCCGCTGAAGGAGCTTTGACTGGGGATCTTCCTGGAGGGTCCTCCTTTCTGTTGGCGAGAGGCCCTTTTTCAGCATGTGGGCTGTCCTCCGTAGGCGGACGATCGCCCGCACTGGGGAAGAGAGGAGAGAGATCTTCTGGGGGCATTTGAGAGCAGCAGCTCCACTGCCAGGCTTCCGGCTGTCCATCTTGACCTCTTCCTGAGCACCTCTCAATCTTGTCTTCTCTGCAGAAGGAAAGAAGGAAAAAGAAAAAGTATGAAAATAGCACAAAACTTAGTAGGGTGTAATGTAGAGGCTGGAACAGGAGGCAGAAAACACCTGCAGAGTTGTGAAGCTCACTGGGTGGTCTTGAACAAGCCAGCTTCTAAGCACCAGGGCTGGATTCATTATTATGCTAAAGAGTTTCTTGAAAAGTAGCAAGAAGTAGAGCATTAGCTGATTATCTTGGGTATAAAATGCTGTGCAGCATGCTTGTGGCTTAATATTGTGCCCCACACAGTTTTGGAAAGACTGATGTAGAAGAGTGATGTAGTCTCTCTGAGCATCAGGGCTGGATTACATTATCTAACAGCAGTACAAAATAGGGCCAACACCAGACACTCTCCCTTTCATACAAAGCACAATTACTGCATAACCTGTTGCAGTTCACCGAGTGCCGTTTGTGGCATTTGCAGGCTGCACTTGTCTGGATACACCACAACCCTGTTCACAAGTTACAGTCGTGCACGTCCAATCTGCATACAATGTACACTTGTTAGGTAATTCTCTTGTTACACTCAACACATGCACAATTACATGTGTGATAAAACTCACATATTTATCCAGGTGCTGGTCCCCAGTTTTGGTTGCAAAGTGCATGTCTGTTGGCTGTTTCTTACAAGCCCGTGTACTGTATTCACTGTAACATGTGAGCAGAGGGGTCAACTAGATGCGACGGTGCCCCCGTGTCTGCCCAGGGGGGCACTGCCAACATTTTAAAGTTAGGATTCTTTAGAAAACACTGTGGGAACCTGATCCTGAAAGCCAACCTGATGGCACCCTGGCTGGGTGGAGTCCCAGGCGGTCTTCCCTCGGGTGAGGATGCTTGAAAATGGTGGGGAGGCAGATGGAAACAGCACAACAGCAGCAGTGGAAGTGAGAGAGAGGGCTTGTCAGGCTTGTCTCTGACCCTGGCCACTCCCCTTCAGGGCTCTTTTTGTAGAAAACCCCCAGCAGGAACTCATTAGCATAATAGGCCACACCCTGACACCACTGCTTATTAGCACATTAGGCCACACCCCCATGTTACCAGAAGTGTGGTCATCCAGCCACCCCCACCTTTCTCTTCTTATTCTGTTTACCTTGTTTGTGGTCAAAACCCAGGGCATTTTTTGTAGCAGGAACTCCTTTGCATGTTAGGCCACACACCCCTAATGTAACCAATCCGAATGAGTTTCTGCTATTGGGTGTGGCCTAGGGTTGCCAGCCTCCAGGTGGGGCCTGGGGATCTCCCGCTTTTACAACTGATCTCCAGCTGACAGAAATCAGCTCCCCTGGAGAAAATGGCTGCTTTGAACGGTGGACTCTATGGCATTGTACCATGCTGAGGCCCCTCCCCTCCCCAAACCCTGCCCTCTCCTGGATCCACCCCCAAAGTCTCCAGGTATTTTCCAGCCCAGACCTGGCAACCCTAGTGTGGCCTATTATGCTAATGAGTTCCTGCTGGGCGTGGCCAACTCAGGAGCCAGCCGGAACTCCGTTCCTGTGCGTTCCTGCCCAAAAATAGCCCTGCCCTTATTGTTCAGCAAGCACCACTGTTACCCCTACCAGCTGAATGGCTGCCTTCATTTTCTTAGGAGAATTTAGTTAAATGGCAGGCCTCAGCAAGAGTTGGGGACAGGTCACTGCTGCCAAGCCTCCTCAGCTAGGAGAAGAACGCCTGAGCCTCCACCCAGCTGGGGTACCATCAGGTTAGCTTTCAGGATTGGGCTCCGGATAGAGTTGCTTGCCACCTCTGGCATGGGAATTTCCTGGACATTTTGGAAGTGAAGCCTTGGTAGGGCTAGGTTTGTGGAGGGGAGGGAGGTTGACATGTTATAATGCCCTAGAGCAGGGGTGTCAAACATGCGGCCTGGGGGCTGGATCAGGCCCCCGGAGGGCTTCCATCAGGCCCGCAGTGGAAGTGGCCCTCTCCTGCTTCCAGTTCTGCCACTGCTGCTGCATCATGATTAGTTAGCATGATGTTAGCCGCCCTGAGCCTTCGGGGAGGGTGGGATATAAATCCAAAAATAAAATAAATAAATAAATAAATAAATCATAGCTTCCTTCACCAGACTCTCTTAATCACTCAGCCATTTCATTTTTTAACCTGGGTCCTAGACTCAGAACTCTGAGCATGAGATTTCTGTGGTGAATGCCAATAAATCAAAAGTAGGTTTGCAGCTTACAGAGCTAATATCTTAAGCATGTTTTTTTTATTTTAAGTAAAAGAAAATTTTTGTTCTTGTGCCTTTTATAAAGTTTATATCTCCGCTACCTGGCATTACATTTTATGACACACATGGCCCGGCCCAACAAGGTCTCATGTCAGATCCGGCCCTCATAACAAATGAGTTCGACACCCCTGCCCTAGAGTTCACTCTTCAAATAATAACAACAGTAATACTATAAAGTCTGCCCTCCAAAGCAGCCATTTTCTCCAGGGGAACCAATCTGTGTAGTCTGGAGATCAGCTGTGATTCTGGGAGATCTCCAGGCCCCTCTTGGAGATTGGCAACCTTAGCCCCCACATGGTTGTTTGTTTTTGTTTTTTAAGAATCCCAGTTTTAAAATGGCATCAGCTTGCCTGTGGCACATACAGGGATGCCGTCACATCCAGCTAAGTCCAGAGCTCTTTTGGGTATAGGAAACATCTACTACAAAAAGCCATATGAATCATGTCCGGTACAGCATACTCCAGAACTGACTAAGGAAGGATTAGACCATCATTATTGCCACATTTGTATATATTTTAAAGTCCCTTTGAAAAGCTTGCATTTTATTTATTCGTAAATAAAAGTTCTTGGAACCAAACCTACTCCCTGAATATGGATTTTGTGAAAAATATTATTATTTTAGCCAGACATGACCACTTATTTGCCAGCAGCGCCATCTGGAGGCACAGTCAAGTATCTTCACACTTTGGCTGAAGATTCCAGGCTGGAGTTAACAGAAAAGGTGCATTTCTTCTTTTTTTAATTTTTACACTCCCGGTTCATTTTAAGGTAATTTTATTTGCATAATCGAAACAAAAGCATGCAGGTGCTGCTAAGCAAGAACTTCAAAGGGTCCCATTAAATGAACCCAAGGTACAGCACAGAGAGCATGGGATAAAAGTTAAGACACGAGGAAAGTTAAAGCATACATCTGTACAGCAGCAAAATCTGTTGTGTTATGCAGGATTTAATTGACTCCAGATATGCAAATAAAGAATTCATCCTGGTATAGCCCACAAATTGGTATTTATAATTTTTATTGCCACTTTCAATGATTCACCAATACCAATTTATTAATCATTTTATTACACGTGTTTGAATACTTTATAACAGTAGCAATAATGATACCTTTTATTTAGCCTTTGCACATTCTTGTTACCAGACCCTTTTCAAGGGACTGTAATCTGATGGTTAGTGAACCAAATGAGCTGTAAAATGCTAAAGGGTTTGGAACTTTTCTATTCAGGAAAAAAAAATCACTAATGAGAAAGATGGTAGAGACAGAGAAGAATCGCACTGATAGAAAAACTTCCCCCCTCCGTGTCTCATAATACCAGAACTTTAGGGCCACCCAAAGACATTGACTGGTAATCATTTAAAGACAGATAAAAAGAAATTAGATCCTTCTACAATACACAGTTAGCTAACATGCCACACGATTAATCAGAGCCAGTGTAGAGTAACAGTCAGATAGCAAGACTTAGGGCCAAACTACACAGACAATGCTAGGGATCTTGGGGGTGGGTGTATATATGTGGGCGGAATATAGATCAAGGCTGTAACACCAGAGAAAGAGAGAATAACTCTGCCAGGAAAACAGCACAGGAGCAAAGAATTGGTCCCCACACCCCATATAAGGATGCCAGCCTCCAGGTGGAACCTGGGTCTCCCCTGGAATCACAGCTCATCTCCAGACTATAGAGATCAGTTCCCCTGGAAAAAACAGAGACTTTGGAGGGTGGACTCTGTGGCACTGTACCCCACTGAGGTTCCTGTCCTCCTCAGGCTCCACCCCCCAAATCTCCAGGAGTTTCCCAACTTGGACCTGGCAACCCTACTTCCCATCCCCTGCTGGTGGCCAGGGGGGGGACCTGGCAACCCTACGACTCCAACAAAGCAGCCCTGATCAATATTGCCATCAGCAGCTGCTTTCTGCAGCTCTGGAGATCGTATTATGGATTCCCAGTGTCTCATTATACGTTTGGCTCTATAACTGGGGAGTAAAGGTAAAGGTTCCCTTGCTCGAAAGCCAGTCAAATCCAACTCTAGGGTTGCGGTGCTCATCTCCGTTTCAAAGCCAAAGAGCCAGCGCTGTCCGAAGACGTTTCCGTGGTCATGTGGCCGGCATGGCTAAACACCAAGGCGCACGGAACGCTGTTACCTTCCCACCGAAGTGGTACCTATTTATCTACTTTCAATTTCTTGCTTTCGAACTGCTAGGTTGGCAGGAGCTGGAACTAGAGATGGGAGCTCACTCCGTCATGCGGCACCCGGGTCTCAAACTGCTGAACTACTGACCTTCCACAGCCTGCAGTTCAGTGTCTTAACCACTTGAGCCACCTGAGGTCAAATCCTCACTTAGTTATAAGACTTCATTGGGCAATCTTGGTCCAGCCATTTTATAAAACTCAGACCTACCCCAAGCACACCACCCTAAGTTCCTTGGAGGAAGGGTAGGAATTAAAAATGTAATAAATAATTAAAGTTATGGAATTCGCTACCACAAGATGTGGTAACCATCACCATCTGTAGATTGCTTTAATAAAAGAGATCAAGGTATGCAATGGCAGTGAGCATCAATGGCTAAATGCATTTCTCAATACAAGATGCTATGGGCAAGCAGTAGGAGAGGGCTGTTAGAACCCTGCTTTTAAGGAGGCGTCTGGCTGTCCACTGTTGGAAACCAGATGCTAGACTAGGTGGATCTTGATTTGAATCTACAAGATTCATTCTGGGTTATGAAAACTGGATCCCACTTTATTCTTCCCCGCTTCCGGCTATGTGCCACATGGCAGGGAAGCAATGGAGACGTCTGGTATTTTCTTTCGTTCCGTTTTGTTCAAGGAAGCAAATTAATCTGTGGGATTATCCATTCTGTTTACAGGAAACCAAACCACGAGCTGGATCTCACACACACACACAAATCAATAGAACTGCCTGTATGTCTAAGCTGCGGTAGCAAGGAGGAGCTGCAAACTTGTGTGATACTGAGCCATTATTTTTTTATATGAACTTGATTTGATATGGCTTTGTTGTTTTAATGTGTTGCAAGCCATCTTGAGTCTAAAAAGAAAACTTTACTTAAGCCAAAAGCAGCTTATAAATCAAGGGTTGCAAGCCCTTCATTTGAAGAGAGCTACTTCTGAGTAAGGAGAAATATCCTGAGCTTTTTTGTTGTTGTTCAGTCACACAGTCGGGTCCAACTCTTCACGACCCCATGGACCTCATCATGCCAGGCCCCCCTGTCCTCCACCGTCCCCCAGAGCCAGCTCAATTTCATGTTCGCTGCATCGATAACACTGTCTAGCCATCTCATCCTTTGCCGTCCCCTTCTTCTGTTACCTTCAATCATTCCCAGTACCAGGGTCTTCTCCAGTGAGTGATCCCTTCTCATTTGGTGGCCTATATAGATCCCTGTTAATATATGAACATTTCTCCCCCTCCTTGCATATTACCAAATTTTGTTCTGTCCTGTAAACTACTGGAATATATTGGTAGCAGAGTGCACAAAGGCTCACAAGCACAGTGGAGCCATCTGGCACAGTGTGTGTGCGAGCCAGAAACAAAGTTACATGGACCCTCTTTATATCTGCAAACTAATATGAGTCCTTTTATTTAAGGAAACCCATTCTAGACAGGATAGAGAGATAGTTTTATTCCCGCTGTAGATTTGACTGGGAATATCTTTTTCGGGTCGGGATGACAACACATCCGTCCCTGAACCGATCAACTATGTTCACTGTAATCATAGCATTTTAGATTAACAGTGATACAAGCTATTGTAATGATCTCCTCTTCTTGGGTTTTTAGTTTGGTTTTCTTTCCTTTCTCCCATAGATGTAGTTTTTCCTTCCCTTTTTTTTCCGTTGTAGTTTATAGAAAATGCAATAAAAAATCCCCCCCTGGGGGCTTAAAAAAAATAACAGGAGAAAAAGCAATAGGGAGAAACGAAGGCTCTCCTGTCTTACGATCTTCAAAAATGCATGGCGTCCAGAACGTGAGATCGTCATTGTGAGACTCCATGGTGTGCGTTCAGACGGGCCGTTTAGTCCACTTTTGGCACGCTTCAGTAACGGATTTTATACCCATGTTCACACACCCAACATCTGCGCACTGTCCCCAGCCGTCGCTTTCCGACTCAACCCCCCTTTAAAACGAAGTATTTTGTTACCAGGTTTCCCAAGTGGTGTTTTCCTGATTCTCCGGTTCTAGCCGCACTTTCCTGATGTCTGATCGCTCCTGCGGTGTCGAGCCACTTCCGCTCGGAAGTCCAAGGCTTCCACTCTTCGCCCGCCATTTTATTTTAGTGTCGGCGGTACGCACACAGCCGGAGCTCTGCTCCCGCATGATTAAAAACAATGTTTAAACGGTGGCTAGCTTTGTTGGTTAGACGAGTTTGGGATTTCACGGAGGCCAGTTTCGGGGTAAAAGTTTAAAGGGAAGTGTTACAGCAGTTGGGTTGAAGTGGAAATCACTGTTCTGCGCACGCGCGAAAATTTTAATTCTACAGATGGCCGCCTGTGCGCATGCCCAAAGAGAGGGGGGGGGACAACGACGCATGCTCCCACGTGTGGACGGTGGGGAGCAATGTGGCTGCGCAGCGATCCGGAACAAGGAGGTGAGTGTGATTGTGATTCTCCAGGTAAAAAAAAACATGCATCGGGACGGGAGCAACTTAAACCTCTCCCAGCATGCCGTCTAACCACACCCAGAGAGTAGTGAAAGCAAGGGTGGTCAGTGTCCCGCCTGTCTAGCTCTCTGACTCTCGTGTAGTCTTCCGCTGTAGTCTGAGGCAAAGAGACAGCACAAAGCCCTTCACTTCCAACAGAAAACAAAGAGCATCAGACATGAAGCTAAGCAGCACTGAGAAAAATCCTATGAAATAAAAGCTTCAAGCAAGCCACTAGCTCTGAAGAGGAGGAATCAGCAGCTCTTCCCCATCCCCAAAACTATCCTTTCTAAATTGCAGGTAGGGTTGCCAGCTCTGGTTTGGGAAATACCAGGAGATTTTAGGGGTGGAGCCTGAGGAAGGCAGGGTTTGGGAAGGGGAGGGACTTCAATGGGGTATAAATGCCACAGAGTCCACCTTCCAAAGCAGCCATTTTCTCCAGGAGATTTCCAGCCACTACCTGGAAGCTGGCTAGCCTAATTGCAGGGCACTGACATCCCCCCCTCCCCACAATTTTGATTTGCATACTCCGGCAATGGATTTTACTGTAAGTGGATTTTACTGTAAGCGAACTGGCAACATCCAGTTAGAAAGTGGATTGAAAGCGGATTATGTCGTATGTGTGATCACAGCCAAAGAGAGACAGGTCAGGTCTGTTTCCCAGGTCTCTGAGCTGCACAAGAGCTTTGCTCCTGTGTCTTCTAGGGGCTACAGGGTGAACTACCCTTTAGCAGCCAGCAAGCTCACCAGCTAGCTGTTGAAGACCCCTGATAAAAAGGTGTTAACAGACTTATACAAATAAATACTGCAACTGGTGAATAGTGTGCAGAGGGAATTAGCAGGGAAAAATAATGATTTTCTCAAGTTACTAGAATCCTGGGTCACCTAATTAAATTGATTGGGAGCTGGTCAAGGCAAATACATGGAAGCTCTGCAACACATACTTAACTGAGGAACTCACTGCCACAAGAAACAACAGCCGCTCCTAGTTCGGACAGCTTTAAAAGACAAATTCGTGGAGGACAGGTCTGTAGCATCACTACTAGCTAAAAAAAAAAAATGGAACCTCCGCATTTAAATGCGGTATATCTCAGATTACAAGGTTGGGGGAATAAGGAAGATAGGATGGTTCCTGTTAAGTCGTGCGCTTAACAAAGAGTCGGAGAGTGATTCAGCAAGAATTGCGGTTTATTCTTCAGCTTAGTTACGATCGCCAGCCAGAACCATCATTCGAACCACTCGAGCCAAAGGACAAGCACTGGCTGCTCTGTATTTAAACATTCCCGGCTAGTGTAGCCACACCCCCTGTACAAATAACAACCTATGAGGTTGAAGATATAATGCCCAATCACAAGCGGTCCCGCTTTACAGCGTGATTGGTAGACACTCTCTGGGCTAGGACTCCTATTGGTTACATTAGGATCCTAGCCCAGGCTGAAGCTTAACATAGAGTTTCAATGAGACGATTCGCATGTCAGTATTTACATTCAAGTCAATACATAACAAATCCCTCCCCCCTAAGCAAAAACATTAGGAACAATCGTAATCGCTTAAGTAGGTGGGCACTCTGCGCACTCTCTGAGACCTCCGTGGCGTAGGAGGTTCAGGGCACCTTAGAATTGGAGGCACTCGGCTTGACTCACTCTCGAGTGGGTCAGGAACGCTACCATCCCTTGCAGTGGGTCCAAGAGTAGGGGTCTGCCCTCCCTCAGGGACAGTACTGGGCTCGGCAGGCTCGGCAGTACTCACCTCCGGCAGAGGTATGGGATCGTTATCTGGGTCCGGTAGCTCGGTTGGCTGCGAGGTGGGGCGGCCAGTCGCCCACCGCTGCCTCAACTGGTCAGTGTGTCGCCTCCACTTGCGACCGTCTGCAAGCTGGACAACATACATTCGGGAACCCACTACCTCGGTAACTGTGGCTGGAAGCCACGAATGTCCCCCTGCATAGTTCTTTGCAAAAACCGTGTCCCCACATTCGTATGTGCGGACCTTAGTGGAAACACTCTGTTGCTGGGGCCTCAAGTCGTTGAGGTCTGGATGCAGCCTATCCAGCAAAGACGCTAGGCGTCGCCCCATCAACAACTCGGCCGGGCTGCGGCCTGTAGCCGAACACGGAGTTACATGCTGGCGCAGAAGAAACGACGCCAGTTTCACTCCCCAGTCCCCGGATGTCAGCTTTGCAAGCGCATCTTTGGTCGTGCGGACCATTCTTTCTGCCTGGCCGTTAGAGGCAGGGTGGAACGGGGCAGAAGTCATTTGCCTTATACCATTGTTAGTTAGGAACTGTACAAATTCGGCAGACACAAATTGAGCGCCGTTATCACTAACTAACACATCAGGCAACCCATGTGTGGCAAAAAGACGGCGCAAAACATTAATTACAGCAGTAGAAGTGGTGGTAGACATTGGCGCCACTTCTAACCATTTTGAAAATGAGTCCACTACAATTAAGAACATTTGCCCTTGTACCGGGCCTGCCAGGTCGATGTGTAGCCTTGACCATGCCTTCCCCGCCGATTCCCACTTTTGCGGATAGGCGGTTGGTGGGTCGGCCCTCGCCTGCTGGCATGGCGTGCACCCCCGAACCCACTCCTCAATATCAGCGTCCAACCCGGGCCACCACACATATCCCCGGGCCAGAGCTTTCATATGTACCATACCGGGATGGCCCTCATGAAGTGATTTCAGCACTTTTTCGCGCCAGCGATGAGGCACAACCACCCGGTTTCCCCACAGTAGACAGCCCTTGGATACAGACATCTCATGTTCCCGCGTTTTATACGGCTTGAATTCCGGCTCTAAGGTCCCCGACGGCCACCCCCTCCACACCCAGTTTAGAACACGACTGAGTACAGAGTCTTTAGCTGTCGCAGCAGCAATGTCCTTTACTGACACGGGTGCCTCCGGCAGTTCCTCAATAGCCAGAACTGAGCAAGTAGGAGCAGGGTCCAAGTCCTGGCCGGGCAGAGGGCAGCGGCTGAGCGCATCAGCGTGTCCAATTGCCTTACCCGGCCGGTGTTCCAAGTCGAATTCATACGCCGAGAGGAACAATGCCCATCGCAACATGCGAGCGGACATAACATCAGGGAGTTGCCGGTCCTGGGCAAAAATCCCTAGCAAGGGCTTGTGGTCCGTTACCAAAATGAAACGCCTTCCAAACAGAAAGTCATTAAACTTTTTAACAGCAGAAACAAGCGCCAAAGCCTCTTTATCAATCTGCGCGTAGTTTTTCTCTGCTACTGTCAATGACCTGGAATAGAACGCTACGGGGGCCTCCCGTCCGTCCGGCATAACATGGCTCAGAACCGCCCCCACCCCATATGGGGACGCATCAGCAGCCAACACCAGTAACTTGTTCTCATCATAGTGTGTCAGCACAGCATCTGATGACAGCAATGTTTTTTTTTTTTTTTGGTAAACAAATTTTATTTTCTCAGGAATACAACATATAAAACATTTCATTCTATCAATTGTCTA